TCTAATATTTGTGACATAATAATTATGAGTTCAATCTCTGGTCCGTGCAGTGTCTACACGGACTCTATGGAAGCAGGGCGAACAAAAACCGCGCAGTACTAAAAATAAGAACTAGACGAGATATCCCTAGACATGGGCAGTGGAAGGAGAACAGTCCACCCTTATGTATTTAATAAAAGGTTCGGTTTAGAATACTCTGTAGGTTACCCTAATTGACATAGATCTGACGAAGGTTGAAGGGCATAACAGCCAAAACATTTTGGTAGCAACAACGGTGATGAGGACAATAGTGCGCATGTGAATACTGAAAATAATGATACAATTCAGTTTAGACAGTATGCATAATATAACACTAAGTCAAAACTAACGTTTATATATTCATTATCATTAGACCAGATCTATGATAGTCCTTAAAGATTCTATAACTGGGCATCAATTACCTTATCAGCGCTCCTAATCACATTCCTACCTCGAAATTTTGGCAACACAAAAGCTAATCAATCTAAATGTCAACTAAATGCATACGAGGAGTGCTGAAAAGATTTAAACCCAGCCAAGTTCTTTTAAAAGATAAATCATACCTTTTTAATTTGGTTAGATTCTAGGTAGTTAGTTGGGCTGAAAATTTTTCAGTGCCTCCTTGAATACCAGTGTAACAGCAAAATTGTCCAAATCGTGTATCAGCATAATTATCCATCCCACAAAATGTTTAATATCTACAAAAAAAAACACTAATCTAATCGAGTTTCTTTTTTTTTCAGATAAGACGTTTAGCCATCTTGACACCAATTGAGTTATTCAGCAAGAAAGACAACAGATTAAAAACGTTTTGTGTTAGCCCCACTGTCTTCTCAACTGAGCAATGTTGAGAGGAAAAAGATCATTCAGACCTTTAGTAATGGTACCAACATTCATACTCTGGCATCCATCTTCAAATCCATTCAAGAACCATCAAGAGAACGGTGAATAAGTTTCTTATAAAATAGAACAATAGAGAGGAAAACTGGGTCAGGAGGTCACAGCAACAAAAGGGATCATCATTTCAACTTAAAGATAAAGACATCAATTAGAAAAGATCCAACTCAATCCATAAGACGTTTTGCACGTGAGAGGTGTTTCACCTCTGACAGTCCAATGAGCAGTGAAAAATAGACTTCAAAATGAATTTGTGCCTGAAATCTGAGGCAAGTTGTTACTCCAAGACAGAAAGTTAGAACGTTAGAGAGGGTGAAGATCACCTTGAATAAGTTGAAAAATAATCCTGGAATATATATATATATATATATATATATATATATATATATATATGAACTTAATTTCAATCCTACATGAGCTTCCGATCCATAGCTATGATTAATTAATGATGCACATGTCATTTTCGTTTATGATCGATTTCATCACGATTCTTCTGCTAAGCTTGGAGAGTAATTATACATCCTTATTGCGCAAAGTAGAGTTCATTAATGTTATCAAAATCTCGAAGAATTCCAGTAAGATATCTTTAATCATTTCTGAGATACAACAATTCAAGCTTAATCTAACAATTGGACAATTTTGCAGTTACACGATTTGGAAAATTTTGCTGTTACACTCGGTATGAGGCGTGGCACGTGGAACTAGAACAGTCTACCCCGGTGGACGAAATAAAGGGTTTGATCTGAAGGAGAGCGGAGCGTACAACGGCCGAAACGTTGCGAATAAGGCAATGAAGATGAGGATAACAGCCTGAATAATGTAAATAATGTAAGAAGTCATAATACCTCATCTCAGATATATAGACAGATAAGGGGGAGGAAGTTGTGGAGAACCATGAAACTTATTATTTTGAGGGGTAGAGACTGGACGTGGGTAATTATTTTTATTCTAATATCGACCAGTGACAAGAGTCTAAGCAAATTAATATTCCAGGAAATTGATAAATTAACCAAATTTTATTCTTCAAGTAGATGAATGGGGTCGATTTTCTTTTTTTAGTAATTCACATTTTTTTACTTATTTACATTATTCGGACTATACGTTATTTACATTATTTGTCCTTGGTATAGAGGATAAAGGTGTTAGATCCTGTGACAGGACCCAAAGAGTGTGAGTTCAATACCCGGTTAAGGCAGTGGAGAACTTGGAGAGGGGAATTAACACGAGATAACTGATAACCATTAAACATAGCACGTGGAACTAGAACAGTCTACCCCAGTGAGCGAAATAAAGGGTTCAGTTCGACATTCCAACCATCTGAAGAAGGCCGGAGCGTACAATGGCCGAAACATTGTAATAAATATGGTGACAAAGATGAGGACAATAGTCCGAATAATGTAAATAAGGTACATAATACCTCAGAAATATAGACAGATACTGAATAAGGCCGGAGCATACAACGGCCGAAACGTTGTAATAATATGGCGACAAAGATGAGGACAATAGTCCCAATAATGTAAATAAGGTACATAACACCTCAGAAATATAGACAGATACTGAATAAGGCCGGAGCATACAATGGCCGAAACGTTGTAATAATATGGCGACAAAGATGAGGACAATAGTCCCAATAATGTGTAATACCTCAGAAATATAGACAGATACTGAATAAGGTCGGAGCGTACAACGGCCGAAACGTTGTAATAAATATGGCGACAAAGATGAGGACAATAGTGTACATAATACCTCATCTCAGAAATATAAACAGATCACATTTTTATTGTTTATACTTTTTTTCCTTGCCGTTTCCTTATTTTTTTCCACTCTTAAAAATAATTTAAAATAAATATTTTTTTTAATTAAAAATAATTATTATTACAGTATGGCTGCACAAAGGGAACGAAAACAAAGGAGGGAGAATTTTTTTTTTTTATTATTTTTATCAAGCTGCCGTGGAAACTGAACAGTTTGTTTTAGGATTCAATCAATTGAAACTGGAAAGCGGCAAATATTAATTGGAATTTGAAACTTTACATCTGACCGATTTTTATTTTTTAAATAGGAAGGGAAATTCTCTTTCACAGTCTTTGGTTGATTGGCTGTGAAAACATATGCTAATCTTGTTGAAAATCTAACGAAAACCATGATTTTGAAAGCTTACGAAGTTTAACTTCTAACTTCTAACTGCGCAAGTTCAAATAGAGAACACTGCGTCGGGGAAGACTGCCCTCTTTAAAATCCCTACTCGAAGTCATCATTTTGATTTAACGGGACTTTAATAAGACTGATAGTAATAATGGCTCATTCGCAACTATCTAAGCTACCAAGGAAGCCTTTTATATGTTCCTATTATATTTGCCAATAACAATAATATCCTATTATTCATTTGGGTTTAACAGTAACGAACGAACCCAACTGGAATTGAAACTGAGCTCTCCGATTCGAAATTCCGAGCCGTTATCTATTACACCACCCGCACATCCAAGCTTGCAGCATCTACTTATCAGCCTCGACATGACTTATCTTCAGTGCACGTCCAGTCGGTAAGGGCGTTTTATTTTGATTGATAATCTTTAGGTATAACATCGTAGAATTTATACTTATTTTCATATAAAAGTTAATTCCCTTTATTTAGAACAAGGCAGTTTTTTTTTTCATATAAATCACGTTTAACAGTTGATCAGCGTGTCTGTAAGTAATATTATGATATTTAAAAGTCATATATTATATAAATGATATTACTTTCGTCAATCTTGAGTGTGAACGTAAAAATAAAGTGTTTATTAGAGCCAAATGTATTTTAAGAAGGTAGTCTTTTTTAATGCTACGATAGAGCTTGATTTGAGTATTTCTTTCACAGTCTTAAAAATGACAACCAGCCAATCACTGATCACCAAGTGGAACCATCTCACTGGAAGGAAGGTTCTTGTAGTTTCTAAATATTTTTCTTTGGAAACCGCAAGAACTTTCCATCCAACCGGATATAAAAATAGTATTGAAAAAAGAAACTTTACAACTTACACTTTCTTTCTCCCACTTTTATATATATATATATATATATATATATATATATATATAGAGAGAGAGAGAGAGAGAGAGAGAGAGAGAGGGAAGGAGAGAGACAAACAAACAAACAAGGACAAATTTCGCATAGGACAAATTTCGCAAATCCTTCGCTTTTTGAATTATGAAAGTTAAATTTTACGGTAGACGCTGCTAAATGCACAATCCAAAATACAATCCAAAAATACTTTTACAAACTTTAGGGGGCATATTCCTCACATCAAAACAAGGACAAATGTCAGCAAAGTTTTTTTGTTTTTTTTATACACCTTATATACACCTTATATATATATATATATATATATATATATATATATATATATATTTCGTTTCGAATTCAGACGTAACTACACGAAACGGGATTAAACACAAGACACGAAACGCCATATTTATAAAAAGGAAATTATAAATTTGATATCAAAAATTAAAATGGCGACTGGTGTTAGCCGAAAGTAGCTAGATATAGCAAGTTTCATTCGCCAATTCTGTCCGAAATCAAAAATGTTTTAGAAATATGTTGAAGAATAGGTTAGTCCATGGATGTTTCTCACATAATGTTGGTATAATAGGCGGGTGAGAATAATGATAATATTAATAATAATAATTATTATTATTATTTATTTATTAATTAATTAGTACTATTATTATTGCCATTAATAACAAGAAGAAGAAGAAGAATACTGGATAATTTCCCCATAGATGAAGGAGAAATTAGAGGAGATGGAAATGTGGTTCTACACAAGGATGCTTATCAACAACGATGAAGTTATAGTGAAAATAGAAACAAAAAAGCAAACTTATACCTAACATCAGAAAGAGATTGTTGGAATTTATAGGGTACATAATGAGGGAAGACATATTAGAATACATAGAACAACAACAACAACAAGATTATTTATTCTATTATATTATTAGGAGAATAGACAAAATGAGAAAAGTATGATGAGGAAATTGTTAAAGAATTTTAGTACACGCCATTGTCATTTTTCGTTTGAGGAATTTTTTCCAATACAAAGTCTAACTATCACAAAAAGAAAGAAACAAAAATAAGAGATAGAGACAAAGAGTTGAAGAGGAAATAAAATGAAAAGAAAGAAAGAAACAAAAAAAGAAAGAAAGAAAGAAAGAAAGAAAGAAAGAAAGAAAGAAAGAAAGAAAGAAAAGAAAGAAAAGAAAAAAAGAAAGGACGAAACCGTTAAATAAAATAAGTGGTTGAGACAAAGAAAGAAAGAAAGAAAGTCCCCAGACAGAAAGAAGAAAAGAAAAAAGCATATTCTAATTTAAGAATAAGATTAAATAAAAAGATAGGAATAAGTAAAAAGAAGCAAATTAACGGTACAAGAAACTATTAAATAAAATATACGTTGTGAGAAAGAAAGAAACAAACAAAGAAACAAAGAAACAAACAGACTAATAAATAAACAAACACAAATAAAGAAAGAAAAAAGAAACGATTAAATTAAAACAAAGAAAGAAGGAAAGAAAAAAGAATGAAAAAAGCCCCTAGCCAGAAAAAAGAAAAGAAAGAAAAAGTATTGTAATTTAAGAAAATGATTAAATAAAAAGAAAAAAAAATTGTGAAACATGAAAAAACAAGCAAATTAACGGAACAAGAAACCATTAAATAAAATATGCGGTTGTAAGAAAGAAAGAAAGAAACTATTAAGTAAAAATAAACGAGAAAATAAACGAAAAAACGATGAAGCCAAATCACAGAATTCAAAATGGCTGAGGTCAGAGAATGATAAATCATTCTTTTCTGAAAAGCATTTTATTTTCGGAAAATTTTTCTAAATTAAGCAAGCGAATCTTCGTCTCTGTCCTGCTCAAATTAGCTGGCAAATTAACTCTTTTGCCTCGCGTCGACGATTCCAAGCCTTTGTCTTACAGCTAGACAACGTGTTCCTCTTCTGAATTAAAAGAATAGCCTACGGTCTGAAATCTATGTACCTATTCAATCTTTCACAAAATTATTCCAGGCAACAAATATACGTTGTAGAGTTTCCAAGCGGAATATTTTTTCATACTAAACCTCGATAAGAGTGAACATACCTAACGGCCATATGTTTGCCAATTTCACGCTTACCCATTGCATATATCAGATAGCTAAACATTTCTTTTCTGTTATTTTAATGTCATGTCCTTTTGGATGTAGGCAGTCATGGCTCTCCCCCAAAAATATTTTTTATTTATACTACGAATTCTTGGGAAGGACAATGGAGTTGATACCCGTTGCTTTCTCCACGTTTTGTCATTGTCCAAGACAGGTTTTCAGTCAATACTAAAAAACGCAGTATAATCTTATTTACACTATTTGCATTATTCGATCTTTGTCCTCATCTTTGTTGTCATTTTCACGACGTTTTGGCCATTTCTTCATTGATATTTCGAACTGAGCCCGGGGGTAAATTATTCTAGTTCCCCGTGCTATGCCTCTTCCAGATGTCTCAGTATTAGTTATCTCCTTTTCTTTTTGAAGTTTTTGTTCACTCTTTGGGTCAAGTCACTGGATTCAACCTAACGATTTATTCACTGGGCCATGTGCTCTTGAGAACATCAGTGTATGAATTTTTGGGACTTATAAAACCAATATTTCATTAACAATTTTTTTACCAGAGCTCATATAACAATTTTGTTTTTGTTGTTATTATTGTTTTTCTCTAGTATTCCGTATTACTGGTTTCTATATTGTACTCAAGTCTATGCTTGGCCTGCTTAGGGGATTTTTTATGGCCTAATATATGCGCTGATTCCTTGAGTTTTCGTATTTTCCAGTAATGTTTTCTCTCATTTCAACCCCATCTCACAGGGAGCGATGATCTCTATTTTCCCTCCATATATGGTCAGTCTAATCTCCTATTTAACTCATAGCTGGGGGAAAATGATTGACGCATTTCCCAGATGCGAAATGAATACAACAGACTAAGCAAGAATTTGAACTCGGTCCGGAGATTCCATTTTCCCACATGATAACCATTACGCCACCAGCCTATCGTAAATACTTCTTTATTTACGTGCCGTGACTTTCCATGATTCGTGTTTGTAGCTCTCCACAGCTTTCTATTCTTTATGGATCAAAACAACATATGTCCTCCGAGACCTGCTTTGCCATCCATTCGCAGTTTTCCTCTGCCCCCCTTGCGTTCAGTATGGCCTTGTGAATTATTCAAGCCCTCCTTCTACATTATGTGTCCCAGAATTTCAATTGACTCCTTATGATTGTAAATATACGTGTCCCTTTCGTTCTCGTTTTCCTTAAAACTTCTTGCTCATATGGTCCACGGTATTCTTGACATCCCTTTTAAGGACTACATATCTGAAGTATATCTCACTCGCTTTCTTTATTTGTGAGGAAATTGCCCAGCATTCTCTGGTATATAAGAGGATTGATATTACATATCAGATCAGTAATCTTTTTTTCATGTTTCTAACGAAATTTTCCTGTACCTTTGATTACCTAGATGGGTGACCGCTTGGGAATACCAGGTGCTGTAAGCTTGGATGTGCTGGTGGTGTAGTGGATAATGGATTGGAATTATTAATCGGAGAACCGTGCTTCAATTCCAGTTGAGTTCGTTATATTCGCGCAAATACCATTGGGAAATGCATGAATCCACCTCTTCTCCCCCAGTTAATTAGTAAGAGTTGTATCACTAAATAATTATTATCTCCAAAAATGAATTCTTACAATCTAAAAATATTTTCTGTCTTTAAATAACCTGCAAAGGGGCGATAAATCGTAAAAAACGAATCAATCATTAATATTTTGATTAATTTCTGAAAGGTATTTTTCACTATTCCATTACAACTTTGGATTTCTCTTTTTAATAATATTTTCTGGTTGGCATTTATTTGTGAAGATATTTAGCTAAATTTTAAGTTATTTTTAAGCCAAAAATATTTTAGAAATACAATATACTTTCATAATCTGTTCGTCCTCAAACATGTCCTGAGAGTTTCCTGGGTTTAGCTTCCGAATTTCTTGTCTAACTTTTTTTTTATTATTTGCTATTCACGGTCAAATAAAAACAGATTCAAAGGGAAACAAAATGAATAGTTATACTTAACAACATGAAGAGATAGTTAATATTTCTAGGGCACATAATGAGGAAAGAAGGATTGGAAATTTTGAAACTCACAGGACAGATTAAAAGCAAGAGGGACAGAGAAAAAACAACGCATAACCTATATAACGAGCTTCAGTAAATGGATAACGGAAAAAGGTTTAGGGGGGTTTTCTAATCGATTTCACCGCATGCAAGGCAATAAAGCCACTAAGACACAAGAGGTGTGGATGAATTAGGAACAGAAATATTAATAATGAGAGGAAACAAAATGTGTAACGGTAGATAACGATTGATATTGCATTTAAATTTTTGAAAATTAAAATTGTCTGGAAAGCATGGAGCCGGAAGGGAGTTCCACAAACGAGAAGTGCGAGAAAAAAAATTGTTGACATAGAATTTACGGCGACAACTCAACTGTAAATTGATGAGATCTCGTCGCCAGTCTAGTATTGCACTTAAATTCGTAAAGTCTCGGTACCATAGGGCGAAGAGCTCTTCCAGACAATTACCATGGAAATATTGATAGAAAAGACACAGGGAGGCAACCACGCGACGGTGGAAAAAATGAATGAATCTGAGCCACCAGATCAGAACTGATAATATTGCTGATTTTTCTTGATTTTATCAAGGAGCTAACAAAAAGAAAAAAAAAAGCTTATTAAGAGCTACAAAGGAAATGAAATTATGTCGAGCCATGGTCGCCAACATTCTGAATAATAATAATAATAATAATAATAATAATAATATTCGCCATCAGTCCTTTATCTTTTGTTTGTTAGGTGACAACTTCCCTCTCTAGTAAAAAAAAAAATGTATACATCTGCTCTCAAAGTAATTTTTCTTCTCGGTTATGTTTAAAAGTCATCACTTATTTTCCACTCATCTTTTACGAATACTTTTTGTACTCAGTGAACCAGTTATCGTTTTAAAGAGCTTACAAAATGAAAGATTCGATTTTAATTTTATTTATAATCTGCAGTGAAAGTCATCCGCGATAGTACTTGTCTGGTGCCAATGTTCTTCGCTAGTTGTCTGGGTCTTTGCCAGGACTAGCCGCCCTTCGCTAAATAGTCATCCTTTCCTAGAAGTCGACGTTTTTGCTGCAAACTCAGTCGTCTCACCAGTGACCGGTTCTGAATATTTACATAAAATGTGACGTCCATGATTAGAGGTTTTCAAAAAGTTGTCTACTCGATTCGCACAACAACGACAATCCAGCAGACGTGCTATACAGAATAACAGAATTGTGTAAGTTAACGATTTTATCACGACATAAATATATTAATAAATCTATGTGGCTCATAAGGTATTAAATTGATTCAATAGTTCCCAACACCATATTTAGTACAATGTTAGAGAAATCATAGAAGTGTCTCGGTTTTATATTACTTGGACAATCAGTTAAATGTACTTCATCTTTTACATGATTGATTTCTTCGGTTACTTTTACGGCTTATGTGGGTTATTTAGAGCTGAAACATTTTGCATTGTAAAAATTGTTCATTATTTGAGAATGAATATTGCATTAACAAGTTTATGAGAATAACAATGAATTTTCCGAATACACGTCATACGAAGGGAGAGATTCGATTTTTGCAAGTTTGAGAAAAAAAATCTTGTTAGATAAAACGGTTCCATATTAATTGATGGTAACACACATTTATCAACCTTTGATCACGTTGTCCTTCCCTTCTGATTTAATAGAGATAAATATCGTTTTGGACAAGAAAATCACTGGCAATGTAAATTAGCTTTATAAAGAGATTCTAAATAAAAAAAAATGGTTGCTCTGTATGAGCATTCAGCATACGGACAGAAAATTAATAAATATACCAACATAGAAAGGGTGGTGAGACAAGGACGAGTCTTCTCACCGGACTTATTCAACCTATACAGCGAGACGATCATGAGTGAACTAGAAGTTCTTCCGGATTTATTATTGGCGGCCACACTCTTAACAACATAAGAGATGCAGATGACACAGTGTTGATAGCGGACATGGAAAGGAAACTACAAGAACTCCCAGAGAAGTTAGTGAAGGAAAATCGAAAATAAAGGATAAATATCAACTGCAAGAAGATATAATGTAAGATTGTAAACAAAAGGAACTACCCACAATGCAATTTACAAATTGGAAATACCAAAATCAAGAAAGTACAAAAATTTAAATATCTAGGATATGTTTTAACCGAAGACGGGAGGTGC